GCTTTCCATGTTAACTGTATCATGACAGGGAAGACCTCTTACACTTTGTCACTATCAGTGTCCCTGTGGTTTCCCAAACATTAGTGCACAGCACTGTATCTCTTCCTAGCAAGTTCAAGCCTTCGCCCCTCTTCCTCCTTGTCACTGCCCCTCACCCCCCAATCTGCGTAAACTACCCACACAGTTCTGGAAACTAGTCTGTCACTCAACAGGTCCAACTGCGATATCCCTCTCTCCAGGATTTCATCTATCTTCTTCCAGCTGTGGTCCAGATGCTTCCTCTGATGAGAGTTTACTGATCCCAGGGCCCAAGGATTCCCAGATACATTCAAGTGGCCTTTCTGTTCTGGTTGATTCATCACTATGCCACGTGCTTTTGACAAGTGTGCTTAGTGCTGAATTCAATTATCTTACTGGAAGAGCAATAAACAGTGCAGCAACAGCAAAGAATAATTTCAAAGTGGTACCTTAGACACTGCATACATGCTAGACTAGCACATCAGGCACATGATGCTCCTTCGACAGCGGAGATGTTGGGGTGATACCACCTCTCTGGGAAGAACTCGTGATGGTCACAAGCAAAGCAACCTGAAGCTAAGACCTCAAGTCAAGAGGCCAAGAATGCTAAAAAAAAAAAGGGGGGGGGGGGAACAGGGGAGAAAGCACCATGTAATTTAACACATGATGGGCCTAGTTGCAATTTAAAACAGAGATGGCAAACTTTTTACACAAAGGGTCAGGCAGTAATAGTATTCAACAGCAAATCTCTTTAGCACAAAAGCAGCTGCTATAGACAAAAATATGTAAATAAATGAGCATGGCTGTATTTCAACAAAACTGTTTATGGACACTGAAATGTGAATCTTATTTTTCACATGTCACAAAATCCTTAAAAAAAACCCCATTAAAATTAAATTACATTAAAAAAATGTAAAGACCATTCTTAGCTCACAGCTCATACAACAGGCAGCGAGCCAGCTTTGGCTCATGGGGCCGTGGTTTGCCAGCCCCTGGCTTAGAACTAAGCGGAACAAAATGGATGACGGGAAGTCAACTGGAAGGACACGCTGTGCCTGAGCCGCACAGCTACTAGGGAACTCACCAAAATAAAGACTTGGTCAGGAAACACTCCCTGAAATTGCTTACTTCTGGTTGAATATTTTGTAGCTATCTTAGGCTGGTTGCTGAAAGAAAAGAAGCATGGGAAAAATGGGAATTCACTGAAATCTCTCAAAGCTCTCATGAACTTGGATTTATATTCTATCAAGTATCCCATCTCTGTGTTAATGCTTTGGTTGAGAAAACAATCAGGAGATCCACTAAAATCGACCTAGTGCCCAGCCTCCTACTTGCCACATTCACCAACGGCTGAAGAAAACAGAAGGGTCAGTGATAAAGGCATTGTCAACTTCAATGTAAGATTTTACGTGGTAAAATCATTTTTAAAAAATGAGAAATGCAATGTTGGATATATTGAAAATATTTTATAATCAATTCTCCAGAATCCTAGCCATCCAGTACAGGAAAAAATTATATGGTAGAACACTTCAGTATTTTTAAACAATGTAAAGACATATTTGACTGGAGGATGGCAATACGAATTTAACAAATACAAACTTACGCTTCCTCACAGTTTCCACAGAGCAACTAAACAACAAATATACATTTAAGAAACAGGAGACAGAATACCTCAAATGCAAAATTCCAAACTCATGCATCTCCTTAGATTAAGAGATTTACCAAAACTGCTTGTAAATTAAAAAATAACAGCAAAAGGTCACAAAAAGCCTACTTCTTTCACAGCATCTTGGCTGATTCTTTAAGCAGATAAAAGTACTGCACAGCACGGTCAAAACTTGGCCTGAATTGTCTTCTGGCAATTAGTAATCCCAACATTTGCAGTTTTGTTGTCCAAGGACAAAAGTTCCATGCTATTACTCTCTGCTGTCAGTTTCCAGAGAAAAGAGGAGGTTGCTGCCGGTGGCCCCTCCCCACTGCCCTTTCCAGTTTTCGCTATGCTCAGAGCAATTAGGTAGCAGATAAATACCATAACATACATGACAGTATCTCATTACCCGACCAGAACTGCCACCCTTCTTCCCAACTCATTCTTCTGCCTTGAAAGATGAGCATATTTAGGATTCCTCATTTTATTCTCCTCAGACATTTTTCACGATCCGTTATAAAACATACAGGTAATACAAAGTCCAAAGGCCTTGTTGTTTTATGGATAAACACATGAAGATGAAACTACATGATAACACCATGGGGAGAAATTATGGTTTCATTTATTTTCTTAAGAGACAAGTTATGAGTGCATGACGTAGAAGCTTAAAAGTCATCAAACTTTGTTAAGGATTATTAAGAGATTATGCAGGAAAAAATCTGTGCAAATTCATCTTCTTAACTCAGTATCTGATAAAAGAAAAAATATTTCTTTAAATAGTCTTTTTATATTCAAGAAAATAGATCTGAAAAACTGAAGTAGACATCTGACCCCCCCTTTATGATCAAATAACAATGCCAACGAAGGAGATTCCAAGGAAAAAACTGAGATGAAAAAAATCCAAATAAAAGCCAACACTGCTATTAAGATTTTTCTTTTAATAAGCCATGAGATATCTTGATTGTATATTTTCCAAAGTACTTTTCCAGCCGCATCTCCCAACCCTTCCAAAAGATTTCGCCAGTCTTTCCAATGCAATAAAAGATGCTGGATTGTAAGTTCTGTCCACCTTCTCTTTTTGATAGCAAATAATCCTAATGAGTTTAATGGTCATACATTCTTATCTAATAAGGAAAAACATTTACAAATATCAGAAACCCAGTTTTGAGACATTTGCATTAAGTCTGAACGGAATCAGCATTTTGTGGGTTTTTAAAAAGGCAGCAGTTGGAATTCACGACTTGCTGACAAACACATTTCTGCTGAGGGAAGGGGAAGAGAGGGAGAGTGAATGCTGCATTTCTCCATTGGCCCCAAAGTGCTAATTCCACAAAGGGATACATCAAAAGCAAACATGCAACCGTGGTTTTAAAACTTTTTACTGCAATATAACAATGAAGTAAACAGTAATTAGACACCTACCAATTTCCCCCCCTAAACAAACCAAAAAAAAATGTAAACAGGAAAATAACTCTGCCTATACTTGTACAGCTTCTCAAATCATGTTAGAAGGGGCTCACATTCAATGATCAAGAAATTTTAAAATAGCAGTAATTATTTTCATTTTAAGAAAAAGTTTCCCTCCTTTCCCCCTTAACCCCAGGTATTTAACATGAAAGAATGGGCTTTCTTACATATTAATTTCATACTTATTTGAAGCAGCAATAATAACCATCAATAATTTGGCATTTCTGTTTAGAGTTGCTCCAATTTCTTTCCCCCCAATTTCACAAAGCCATTATCCAGTGTTGCCATGAAATAGAGAATGTAGGTTCTAGGTAGCAAAGATTCTTTCTGAAACCAACGTTAAGTCAAAGAAATATAAAGCAGGGCATTACACTAAATTTCTGGATCTAGTACACTAAAAAGAGTGAAACCTAGGAAAAGTTACCTACTGTTTTATAGAAGAAATAAAGACCTGCAAAAGCTGATTTTTGGTTGTATAATATTTTACACACTGTGGATTTGCGGCATCTGCTAACTGAAGCAGACATGCACTGTATTTATCCCTGCCCTATATCCTAGAGCCCTCCCTCCCCACCCCCAACAACCTACTACCTTATACCAAGTATTGTGGATATGAGCCCAAGTCATCCCAGACAATCCAGTGAACAAAGTTAGTGTAATGCACTGGTGTGAAGTGTGAGATAAAAAAAAGTCCCTTTCAATCTTCATCAAAGTTTTGCTGTAGAAGAAAATTGGCAGCCAAGTTCTCATTCTTCTCACAAGCAAAATATGCTTGTATCACAAGTCCTTCAGGAAATCCTAATGCCTTTAACTGGAAGAAAAGACAGAAAACATTATGGAGTCTAGCATAGCACTACTACAGATCATCACTTGAAAGTATACTGGAAAGGACACAAAAAAAGCTCTTGAGAATTTTACATGAATTCATTGTCCAATCCAAGGGACTAGACTAGAACCTAGACCCTTTCCTTTAACCACTTACAAAACTCTTTATTCCTAGTTAAAGCTATAGGGCTAAATGGTTCTTTAATTCATTGGCATTAACATTAAAAATTAGCTGCTGGGGTGGTTTAAAAATAAATGACCCTATAGAAGTCTGTAAATCAAATGGCTTTAGCACACAAGCGGTAAAGATAAAGATGAGCGTAACTGGAGGTGAATTTCAACACTTCATCTAATTATTTGTAAAGAAAGCCGTGTCTTTCATCAGGGTAAAATATCGCTCTCAAATCTCCTTGCCTTTTGAAACACTACTAGAAAAATGGGTGATCAATTATTAGTAATATTAACATATTTTTGAGATCAAAACATATGATGTTCTATTGTTATCTGCTTAATCTTTACAGCATTATAAATGGTGATACCAGCCACTTAAGTTTGTTTTCCTAGTCTATTAAAAATCACTTGTGACAATAATTGCTGCTTTTAAAAACTTTTAAACACTCGGATCAGTTATCTAACTTCTCTCGGTACCAGACATTGTCAGCCAAATGCTATTTATGAACCCCCTCCTCAACTGTCTTAGCCACCTTAGACTGTATCAAGAAATGCCTTTAAAACCTGGGCAAAGTTCCCAATTCAGCACGATTACAGTCATCCATGAAAGGAGAAGAAACTCAAAAATGATTTTGTTACCTAGGTCTTGTCCAGATTAAAGCTGGGCTAGCTGAAGTAAAAGGTAGATAGGGGCATGATCCAACTATACGATTCTACAAGACACACACTTTAGATTCAAAGACACAAATATGCCAAAAGTAAAAAGATGCAAAAAGATACATACCATGCAAACAGTTACAAACAGAGAGCTGAAGTGGCCATATAATATTAGACAAAATACTTTTAAGATAAAAATTGTTACTAGAAACTAAGGACACTTTTACAATGATAAAACAATCAGAAAGACTTCATTATAAACATATAACAACAGAGCCCCAAAGTATGGGAAACGAAAAATGATAGAACTGAAGGGAGAAATAACCAATTCAACAATGACAGTTGGAGACTTCAACATTCCCAAGTTCTGTAATGGACACAGGTGGACAGAAGACTGACCAGGAAATAGAAGACCTGAACAATACGATAAGCCAACTAGACTTAACTGACATTTACAGAGCCCTTAACAACAGCAGATTACACATCCTTCTCAAGCATACACAGACCATTCTCCATGAAGACCATGAAACAAACCTCAATAAATTTAAGAGGAATAAAATTAGACAAAGTATGTTCTCGGACCACAGTGGAATAAACTTAGAAATCAGTAACAGAAGGAAACTTGGCAAATTCATAAATATGTAGAAATTGATATAATTCTAGATAACCAATGGATCAAAGAAAAAAATGACAAAAGAAATTAGAAAATACTTTGAGATGAATGAAAATAAAACACAGCACATGAAAACTCATGGGATGCTGCTGCAACAGTGCTTGGAGGAAAGGTAACACTGTGAGCATCTATAGGCACACCTCAGAGATTGCCGGTTCAGTTACAGACCACTGCAATCAAGTGACTAACACAATAAAGCAGGTCCCACGAATTTTTCGTTTCTCAGTGCATATAAAAGTTACGTTTACATGATAAACATAGTCTACTGAGTGTGCAGCAGCATGATGTCTAAAAAACAAGGTGCATGCCTTGATTAAAAAACACTTTATTGCCAAAAGATGCTCATCATCATCCGACAGCACAGGGTTGCCACAAACTTTCAATTTGTAAAAAATACAATTATTTCCAAAGTGCAATAAAATACAATGAGATATGCTGATGTATTATGACAGAGAGACAGTAAATCAATAATCTATCTAATCTTCAACCTTAAGTAACTAGAAAAAAAGAGAAAACTAAATCCAAAGCCAGGAGAAGGAAGTAAATAATAAAGATTAGAGAGAAAATAAATAAAATAGAGACTAAAACAATAGAGAAAACCAACAAAACCAAAAGTTCCTTTTTTTCTTTAGATCAGCAACACTGATGAAAGTTTAGCTAAACTGACAGTGAGGGGAAAAATATCTGAGGAGTCAAATGACTAAAATGAGGAATAAATGTGGGAAGATTACTACATTTTATAGAAATAAAAACTATTATAAGGGAATACTATGAACAATTTTATGCCAACAAATTACACAACATACATGAAATTGATTCCTAGAAAGACAAAACCTACAACTGACTCAAGAAAAAACAAAAAATATGAATAGCCCTGTAACAAGGAAAGACATTGAATTAGTAATCACAAAACTTCCCAAAAGGAAAAGCCAGGCCCAGGTAACTTCACTGGTAAATTCTACCAGAATTTTGAAGAAAAATTAACGCCAATTCTTTATAAATTCTTTCAAACAACAGACGAGTGGGGAACTCATTCTATAGATACCAAAACCAAAGATGTCACAGGAAAACTACAGACCAATATTCCTTATGAATATAGATGCAGAAAACCTCAACAGAGTACTAGCAGATCAATTTCAGCAACATATGAAAAGGATTATACTCCATGGCCACATAGGTTTCCTCCCATATATTTGTATATTTGGTCCAACTTACAAAAATTAACCGACTTAATAAAGCATATTAACAGAAAAAAGGACACAACCACAATAAACAGAATCTGATAAAAATTCCATACCCTTTTGTGATTAAAAACACCCAACACATGAGGAATAGAAGGGAATTTCTTCAGCTTGATAAAGAGAATCTAATGAAACCCACAGCTAACATCATACTTAACGGGTAAAAATCTAAATGTTTTATTTTCCCCAAAGATCAGGAACAAGACAAGGATGCTGGCTCTTGCCAATCCACAGGAGTCTCTAGACAGGACAATTAGGCAAATAAGCACATGTGAATAACATATAAATATGAATAATGAATAAAGGGCATCATTTTGAAAAAGAAAAACTATGTCTACCTGCAAGTAATATATAGGAACATATACACAAATTATCAGAATTAATAAATGAGTTAGGAAGGTTGCATGATACACAAAATTAAATTGTATTTCTAAGTAACTAGCAATGAATAGTTCAAAAATGAAATTAAGAAAACAATTCTTTATACAGCATTATAAAAAATAAAAAACTCAGAAATAAATTTAGCAAGAGAATTATCAACTGAAGACTAAAGGAATTTCTGAAAGAAATAATATAAATCTAATATGGAAAGACATTCCATCCCATGTTTATGGCTTGGTAACACTTAATATTGCCAACATGGCAATACCCTTTAAACTGATCTACAGAAAAAAAACACAGTATCCATCAAAATCTCAGCCAGCTTTCTTTTTGCAGAAATTAGACAAGCAAATCCTAGAATTCATAATGAAAATGCAAGGGATCCACAACAGTCAAAACAATTCTGAGGAGGAACAAATATGGAACACTCACATTTCCCGATTTGAAAACTTAACCACAAAGCCAGAGTTATCTAGACAATGAAGTACTGCCACAGGATAAACATATAGATCGATGCAACAGGACTGAAAGCCCAATAATAAATCCTCACATTTATGGCCAACTGATTTTCAACAAGGATGCCAAGACAATTTAATAGCAAAAGAGCAGTATTTTCAATAAATGGTGCAGGGGCAACTGGATATACACATGCAAAGATAGATGCTAGACTCCCACACCTTGCACCATAAACAAAGGTAACAAAATGGATCACAGACCTAAATGTAACAGCTATAAAGCTCTGGAGAAAATACAGGACTAAATCTTTTGACCTTGGATTAGGCAATGTTTTCTCGTATGACACCAACAGCACAAGGAACACAGAAATCCAAGACTGACAACCCTAACTTCAAAAAAAAAAAAAA